TACATAAATTAAATTATAAAAAAATTGAATTAAAAAATTACAAAAAAAATGAGAAATTTCAAATAGTTAATTTGATACTAATATCGATATATTTTTGTCAAATTTTATGATATCTTCAAACATATATTTTATTCAAAAATAAAAAGATTATCGTTTTCTTAAAATCACATAAAGTCATATTATAACATCGACTGAGATAAAAAATAAAATAAAATATTAAAATCACGATGTATCTCGTTGAATTGCGCAAGTACGTTTCTAATCTCATTTTTAATATTACAATTTTGATTATATTATTAAAATATTTTATTAATTAATATAATATTATTTTCTTTTTTACATATTTATTTTTTAGAGTTTACTATTTTAAAAATATACTAAAAAATATTTTTTTTATTATAATTACTTTCTAGATATTCTTCAGTATTTATAAATTTTTTATTTTTTTTATATTTTCTTATTTTAAATAAAGTTTTTAGGAATTTGTAGAGCAAAAGCATACCTAAAATTTTCAAAATCTCTATTTTTCCATTTTGGAGAATTTATAGTAAAATTATTTTAATATATTTTAATTAAGTAAGAGGCCGTGTACCCAGTAAGTACTTACTGTTATGAGTCAACGGGTAAGATTGTAATACATTAAAATGGTATCGTATGCAACAATTTACCTGTAAAGCGCTTACCCAAGTAAGGGTCGTCACCTTCACTTACCGAGTAAGACTCTCTCATCTTTATCGTTGCGCTTACCGGGTAAAATTTTTGACCCTTGTTATGTTCATCATATAAGAAAAATTACTCGGTAAGCACTTACCAGGTAAACGTTCAGTAAACGACCCTAAGTTGTATTTTTAGTCCTTATGATTTGTTCGAAAATTTCTCATCTTTGTGTTTTTTAAATTACAATTTTCATCCCTAGGATTTATATTCCATTGTTATTTTAGTCGTTATAATTTATAATTTTCTGCTCTCTTTACTCTTTTATCGTATACTAGAAAGTAAGAGTTAAAATTAGAGACAAAAATAACAATTAATTATAAACTATAAGAATAAAAACCATAATTTCAAAATCAGATAGATGAAAGTTGTGATTTTTAACAAATTGCATAGACTACAAACGTAATTTACATGTATTATTTAATCCATTTCCATTTTGACTAGTTACTTAATTTAATATATTCTTCTATATAATATGTTATATAACATGATGGTGTTGGGTTGAGTTTCAGTGAGAAGTGTAAGAATAGATCTCCATCATTGGATGCACATTAGGATGATATGCATTGAGGTGTACCAGATTAATTCTTATGAGAAGCTCAATTCATGGGTGAGCAAGAGGTTGAAAATATTAATGATCCAGATCTCTTTTTACACTTCTCATGTTAACTTTTTTTTTTTTCACACGATTCTTCATCATTGTTATATACCTTTTTTATACCATAATTAAATAAAAACATGCCTTAAAAATATAAAAACGATTTTAAATTTGTAACAATTAGTTTGGCAATATCCAATAGAATTGATTTTAAATTGCTAGAAAGATATTTGCACAATACAACAGATACATATCAATTTTTAATATTTGTTTTATTCTTTGTTCTTATCGATATGATATGATTTTATATGATTATGAGAAAGCAATAATGCATTTATTTTTTAATGATTAATACTAATAAAATTATATTTAGGTGGCGTTTGTTTTTTAAGAGGTGCTGAAGTCTGAAGTCTGAATTCACTTCTGAATTTTAAGAGGTGGTTCTGAAGTCTGAAATTTGAATCAGTCAGACTGTTTGCTTTTACGTCTGAAGTCTGAATCAGTCAGACTATTTGTTTTTACGTCTGAAATCTGAATCAATATAAACACGAACCTTCACAACGAGAGATGCTTGGACGGAGAGGCAGTCGAGAGATCGAGAGCTTGGACGGAGAGGCAGTCAAAAAATCGTGAGTTGTTGACATCGAGAGCTAAGAGCGAGACCTTGAAATCGAGAGCTGAGAGCGAGATGGAGATGGAAAAATTGAGAGTTGAGAGCGAGATGGAGATGGAGAAATCGAGAGTTGAGAGCCAGATGGAGATGGAGAAATCGAGAGTTGAGAGCGAGGTGGAGATGGAGAAATCGAGAGTTGAGAGCGAGATGGAGATGGAGATGGGATGTGGCTCTGAAATTGATTTCAGACATAGGATTCCCACTTAATTTTAAGAGGACGGTAAGAGGTAAAAAAACTCTTAATTTAAAAAAAAAACAAACTGTCTGAAATCACTTATGTCTGAACGATTAAGAGTTAAGAGGCAATTAAGTGAAAAATTTAAAAAAACAAACAGGCCCTTAGGCTCTCATATGTGTAGCTTAATTGGCAAAGAGGTGGAAACGATTTTATCAAATACATAACATGTTCAAATTTAAATCATATGGGAGATGATATGAACCCCGCTCAATTAGCTCTGAAATACATCCTCACAGGTTCTTAGAGGGTGGGTTCCATGTAACGGTGTGAGGCCGGTCGGGAACCGATAATCAAGCTTTCGCTAAAATAAATATGATGTTTAGAATTAAAAGTAAAATAACTTATTTATTAATTTTAATTAAAAAAATTGTTTGGGCTTGTTGGGTCGGTGTTGAACTAACAATCGGATCCAGATCCGGATCCGGATCCGGATCGGATCCAGATGTAACTTCTGGGCCACCTTATTAATCGCCGCCATCCATCGTTATCCGGTCAATGGAACACGAGACCCGTCAGCCGAGCCCTAATTTTGTTGCATAAAAAACAGGTTGCCATGTTTTTTTATGGTTTTCTTGGATTGGATTTCCCCAAATCATCACTTCTGATTATCACCAACACCAGCGAAGACGGAGAAAAAGTCTTGAAATTTCGTTTCTGGAAGCCCTAATTTGTTGAAGAAAAGAGGTACAGAGATATAGAATTGTTATAATCGTATACGGATAGATCGCTAGAGACTTGACGGTTTGAATTAACCAAGGAGGAGATTGACAGTGGGGGATAACCTTTTCTTCATTGAAAATGGTGGTATCGATGAAATTTTTTGTGCTATTGATGGTTATTACGTTGCCACTTTTGTCCTTCGCCTCTTCGTCGCTGATGTGTCCTTCTGAAATCAAGCCATTTCTTCATGATCTACATCTTCAATGCCCTACGACAATTATGTATTCTTGGCCGATCGAGGTATATCAATTCTGCACAGTTCTGCTATTTTTATTCTTCATGAAGAAATTGACACATGCGATTTCCTCGAATTTGGTCTGGTATTTTCTATTTGATTGTTGCATATGTTCCAGAGTATTCCGAGGTGACCAATGGTTTCATTTACAGATGTTTTCTTTAGAAAGGGATCTAGTCATCTAAGGTGTTGGTGGCACTTTCGAATTTGATTTTATCACTCATGTATCTCCTGATAAAATGCGTTAATATCTGTGTACAAATATAATTTTGGATAGTTTTTCATTTTTGTTCCGGGAGAAAAATTTGGGGATGTTGGAGAATTGTTTTTTAATCTGTATAAACAGAAAAACAGTTACCAAACTCCTTGTTCGTCTTTTTAACAGGGTAACCAGCACGGGAGAGAAGGGTGGGGGGGGGGGGTCGTTAGGACTTCGAACTCTATACGCCACATAAACCCTTCAGACCATTTGTCAATCCTTGAAATCTAGCCAAGGATCTGCCCAACTCGCTAGTTTTTCCAGAAGACCTTGGAACCACACCACCAGAGGGGTTAAAACTTCTGCTGCCTGTTAATTGATGAAATGGCAATTTATGGGGCAATATACAAGTGCAGACTCAAACTTAGGATATTTATGATATTTAGTCCTGCTGATGCGTAACTCGCTGGTTTTGATTTTTAGGGACCATGAAACATTGAGAGTGTGTTTGGTATGCTGTACAAGACAAGAAAAAAAACTTATTGCCACTAGTTTGGTGCAACATTAGACTGTAACGAGACAGGTTTGAGTGGCCAAGTGGGATAAAACTACAATTTTTTGTTCCACCAAAATAGGTGGAACAAAAATCTCCCGCCTACCTCACTCTTGCACGTCTATGTGCCAAACTCACCCCGAGTGACAGAAATGAGTTGCTTACAGATAGAGGAAAAAATAATTAAGAGACAAGAAATACGTAGTGAACTAGTTAGAGTGCTTCTTGAAAGACAATTTAAAAGTTGCCGCACTTGGAAAAGCTTGTTGCTTCTATACAGCTATACCCATCGATTTAGCACCTCTGTTGTCACTTGTCACTGATGGAATCTTCATACTGATGTATGCTTCCCACATAAACGTAATTTATGTTTGAAAGCATATCCACTTTGCATATAAAGGAAGTAACTGTTGCACATTTGCAAGGGGAGCCCATGACAAGACACAAACCCAACCCGACACAAACATGTGCTGAATATATCCTTGTCGTTGAGGCTTCCACATTTGCTTTTTTGTTTTCTCATATACACAGAGGCCAAAATCCAATTGGAATTAGGGTTGTATCAAAGATTAGTGAAAGAGAAAAATGACGAAAACGAAAAGATCAGATCAAATGGCATGAAGGGGATGAGAGAAAGAGAGTCCAGGCAAAGAGGGCAAAGAAAACGAAAATAAGGAGTTAAAGTGACTACTAACTAATAAACCATGTAAGTTTTATGAGTTCTGTAGACAAACTTACCTACATTTGGACTTTTTACAGCTACAATAAATTACCAAAGATGAGGATTATTGATCGACTCATTTTCACAGCAGCAGTGTGCATGAATAACTAATCACAGGAGGGACATGGATAGACTTGGTTACGTCATTTAATAATTTTATTCTATGGTTAATTTAGCAAAATCACCAAGATCCGAAACCACACAGAACAATAAGAGTTTATCAGTTTGGGTTTTTTGGTTATATCCTTGGTAGCACCCCGATTTTAACCCATGATAATTATCAAGCATGAAATATATTCACGATTTCCTAATATTAAGGCTGGCCAAGGGAGTCTAGGTTAAAAAAATACAATATCTTTAACTAGTAGAGATTGAGATGACCAATATCTTTATTGCCAATTTGACTCATGCTATACAGGTCATGTTTTTCTGTTATCAGAAGTTTATATCCACAAAAGCATGCAAGTATTCAAGATTTGAGGTAAAACATAGTTTAGACAGAGGAATAAAAGAGAAGGTTCCATGTACTCTCTTTCTGTTACTTCCATCGTTCATGTAATTAACCTTCTGTTTATATGCTTGACTGGATCCGCCTTTTGCCCTCTGTTGAACTCTTCTCAATGCTATGCACTTTAACAGAATTAGTCTTAGATACCGCGTTCTAGTGTTAAATCCATCTACGTGCTTATGAACGGAATTAGTATATGAAAGAAAATTAGTATGTCATACCTTACATATCATGTGTTGGAGCTACCTAGGTTTGACCTTATGCATGGTTTTGCTTTTGAACTGTTAATGTTATGTCCAAGCTTTAAACAACCAAAGATTGCACCTAAGATACTTTTTTTTATAAGGAGACCTAATACACATCACTCAATTATAAAAAAGTATTAAGTAAATGATAAACTATAAGGAACCTAGGCTAGAGCATACCTTATGTGTTCTTTATACATCATTTGACTTGTTTGTAGCGAATAAGCATAGAGAGTCTGGAGATATTTCACATTGTTGTCTGTAAAACTACAAAACCAAAAAAAGGTAGTTCTCTGGTTAACAAGAATATTGTAGGTTTGATGATCTCTCCGCCCTTGAAGAAGTAGAGGATAACGTAGAGTTGCATAGATATTGCTATCGAACATGGAAATCAATTAGAAATAATGTTGATTTGCTTAGATATTGTCATCAAGTGGTTGTTGGCCAACTTAAGTCACAATGCCATATTAATTCCTTCAAGTCCCTGAACATGCAATTGAGTTGGTAATAAAAGATGTATCCATATTCTTATCTCCTCAATAGGTGTGCTGTATAACAAGATCAAGATTGAGATCTATCTCCCCTCAATAAAGGACACGTCATACTTATTTCACTCACCACCTTGGATTTATGTTCTCCGTTTGCTAACTTCTGCAATTGTTCTCCATCTTTAGTTTCGAGTTCCACCTTTATAAATTCTAATGACACTCTGTCCTCGAGAATGACTATGAAGTAGATGACCAAAAAATGTTGTTTTTTTGAAATGCACACGTTATTTTTGTCATGACCAAAAACAGAAAAAAGAAAACCGAAATGGAATCACCACTCCAGCCCGGTTATTCAACATTATACTTATAATAGATTTGTGTCCTGTAAGATAAATCTGCTCTAGTTGTAGTCTCTTGAATAATCACAAACACATCTTCGCTAGAATACTTGATCATCACTCAAAACCTTTTTCTTTGCAGCTGTATGCATGGTTTCTCTTTTAACGTAGAATCTTTTGTATTTTTTTATTATCATGATGGTCATTTTTAGATCTTTTGTCCATTTGTAATTATGTTCTCACTGCAGAAATAAGCTTTTATTATGAATTTCTGGAACTTAAATACGTTAATTCTGGTGTTGGTGATAATGGTGCTGAGCAATGAGGGGGAATACTAAGGGGAAGCTAATGAATTCAATTTAATGGTTCAAATGAATTTTGTATGTCTTATCAAATGTCTAAACTCCAAAACCCGCTCAATATTTTGATTGGATATTTGGGTCGTAAATAAGAATTCTTTAATCTGCCATTCGTTTAATGGAATATTTCTCTAGAAACTGCATGTTTTTCAAAATCTTGCTGTATTTAGAGTCGTTTTGTCTCCCTTTAGCTAGTCCAAACTTAGAAGGGTGAATGCGATAAGTGGCCTGACAAACTGTGAACAGTTCAAAGATGTGTATAAACATGTTGTGTATGTTATCGATGTTTCAGTGTGTTCTCTTTCTGCAGATGAATGAGGAGTCTCTTGACAAGGTTTTGAGCTTCAGGCAGATGAATGGATATGTAGCCATATTGTTCTATGCTTCTTGGTGTCCATTTTCTAGGAACTTCCAACCCAAGTTTGCAGCCCTCAGTTCAATGTATCCACAAATTAAGCATGTAATGATTGAACAATCTTCAGTTCCACCAATGTAAGTTATTGCATTAATTTGGTTCTATTCAAAGATGCAGAATTTTTTCTTAACTACGTTCCTGTATGACCGTGGATGCTGTATTAAGAAACTAACCCAAAGGGTAGAGCGGCTGTTTTTTTTCCCATTAACCTGGATATCCAACCCGCTATGTAAGCCGACTAATCCCAGGGCGACCACCTGCGGAGTCACCGCATTTGAACCTCCGTGGTTACAAGGGGATTTTTATTCCTCCTTGGATTTGAACCTGGGACCTCCTGGTACTTTTGACCTTTGGAGTAGAGCGGCTGTTTTTGTGACCATAATGTGTTACTGTTATTAATGAGCGATGAAAGTGGAAGGAGGTTGATTTTTTATTCACCTGATTGCTGTAATGCATGCAGTGTTTTCTCAAGACATGGCATTCATGGCGTGCCCTCGATTTTGATAGTGAACAGGACAAGTAGAGTGCGACAAAATGGTCCAAAAAACCTACCCTCGCTTGTGCATTTCTATCAAAAAGCTACAGGTACCAATAGTGGATATTTATATTCGGTCTTTTGTTGTTGGGTATTGGACATCTCATGGTTGTGAAATTATCCAGTCAGGTAAGAGCGTCTCCAACAGATTTTCATATTTTCTCCAAAATGGAAAAACAAAAGCTAAAACCTCCAGAAAAATTATATTCAACTCCAACATTTCTCCATTTTGAAGATTTCAACATTAATTATATTATTGAACTATTCAATACATTTCATACTCCAAGAAACTTCTAAACAAATTTTATACGAGATGATAATACATCCAACTTCGTTGGTGGAAACAATAAAAAACACTTTCTCTTCGTCATTTACTTTTGGAGAATTCTCCAAATTTGGAGATTTGCATCATCTCTCTTCTACTTTCTTCATTTGAATTAACTGAGCAAAAACATAACCTAAAAAACTCCATTTTTGGAGAATCTGTTGGAGATGCTCCATCATTATGACATTCATATATAATATAGCTTCAAAGTATCAGCTTTTTATGGGCTGATCGGAGGAATGTGAATGCAGAAATAATTGCATAAACGCATGCACATGTGCTTGTTTTTGGCTTAAGCAACTTTCACCCTGATAAAATCACTTGTTCTTAGGAATCCTGCAAGTTCAATTCTATGTTTGCTATTTGGAAGGTAAATTTAGACAAGATAGTATAAGGCGTTGTTTACCTAAATACTTACCTGGTAAGCGCTTACCGGTAAAATTCAACATTATCACTTACTTATCAGGTAAGATTTGAGTCCACCAAAACGACATTGTATGTAACAATTTACCCGGTAAGCGCTAACCGTGGTAAGAGTCATCGCCATCACTTACCGGGTAAGACTCTCGGTCCTTGCCATATTCATCCGGTAAGGTAATGTGACTTGGTAGGTAAGCGCTTACCCAAGTAAGCATTTGGTAAATGGCTCTAAGCCTCAACCTCAAGACTTGCAGTTTTGTTTACCAAAGCCCACAATGATCCTTTCCATAGTACTGTTCTGTGCTAATAGAAGAAAGGGACTGTAGCTATTAGGTTGCGTTTAGTATGTGGGACAGGACAGGATAGGATAAGATAGGACAAAACAAGAAAACTCATTGGCACGACAATTAGAATAGGACAAAATGCAGTTTTTTTGGCCCGTCAAATTTTAGGTGGAACAAAATCAGAGAGAAGGGATAAGATAAGTAAATTACTAAACTACCAATGTCAAATTAAAACCTTCCACAATTCTTTCACCCACTTATCTTAAAGTCACCGGTATAGGCCTCCCAGTTCAGTCTGCATACCACATGCACCCTTAAGGAACATAACAGTGTGTGTTTAGTATGTGGGACATGATAGAATAAAAACGTGCGAAATTAGACTGGGACAAGACCAGACCTGAGTGGTACAAGAATGCATTTTTTCTGTCCCATCAAAATAGGTGGAACAAAAATTAGGGAGATGGGACAAGATTGGTAAATTAAAACCCTAAATCCTTACACAATTCTTTCACAGCCTACCTCACTCACTTATCGAGTCCAGTCCTGTCCGCATACCAAATGCAAGTGTTTAGTCTCATTTCATGCCATTAGGATTTGGATCAAGAACTCCATCCACCTTTTTATCTTTGTCATTTGGTGTTCTTTCCGCAATAATCGCCTCTCATGTTTTTTCCCAGGACTTGAACCAGTAATGGACTTAACCGAAGATCAAATCAACTCTTCAGAAAACAAATCAAGACTTCTTGAATCATCCACCAAATCCCAAGTGAAGAACATAATCCGAAGAGAACCCTATCTCATCTTCTCCCTCCTCTTCCTCTTCTCAAAAGCACTCCTATACCTCTATCCAAACATGGTATCCAACCTTATCGCTCTTTGGCTTGCATACATCCCTCATTTGAACCTCGCAATCTTCGGAGAATCAAGACAACTTTTGGCACGTGTTCTTCATCTGGTCGATATCAAAAGGGCGTTCAGCAAACTGACGCTTAGCAAAAGCAGGAACTTCCAAAACGGAGCTAGAAGTGCTCGAGCCTGGGCTTCATCCTTGGCATCCTTCTCGTTGGGCAAGACTTCTTCCGCTAAGGCAACACAAGGAGGAAAGTTGTAGACTTTGATAATATATGCATGTACCATGCATATCGTGTCGAATCTTTTTTTTTTTTTTTTTCGTTTTGTTTACTTTGTTATTTCAAAATCATGCGTCATTTTGGACTTGTGGTTTAGGGAAAGTAGGAGTGTTTGTAAATTTGAGAACCTTTTGATCTATTTTGTGTATATTATGTATCAATGAACAACAACAATCCAACCCTGATTAGGTTTATCAGTGTTTCAGACAAATACTGATAAGAATAAATTCCATGTGATTTTACTGTCATTATTGGTTTACTTTGATTTTAACAGAATGGTGAGTAGTGGGTTTCAATATCCTTTTTCAAGTTCATTTATTTTGAACATGTTTAGAAATGTTAAATATTTGTCTTATTGTTAACTTCAGAGATCGTAAGGTGAGATTAGTTGGGCAGACTGACGGTTATCCAACATATTGGTGAACATTTGGACCCGTAATCTCTAAAGAGTTAGGGGCAATTTACCATGTGCTTATCTAGTAAGTGCTTATCAGTATCTTACCGGGTGAACGAAATAAGGACCAAGAGCTTACCGGGTATAAAACATATCAAGGACCCGACAATTTGTAAGCAAGAAAGAAGATTCTTATCTGGTTAATGCTTACCACGTAAGAAACGTTTACAAGCAGTCCATTTTGATGACAAAAATGTTACCCGATAAGGTTGGTAGTCACTTTTGCTAATAAGTGTTCATCCAGTAAACGTTTGATAAACAGTCTTTTAGTTATATATTGTCAAACTTCAACCAACTTTTAACTGATTCCCTATCTAATGTCTCCTAAAATAAATCAACGTTTTGTTTTGTTACTTTGAAGTTTTCTTCTGGGATAGTTGGTTATAAATGTTTTATTAAGGCATCTTCAATGTAGAACACCAACATCTGTATTGTTTTGATGGAAAATATAGTATAAACAATATTTTTTACACCAAAAGACAATATTTTAGGTATATTTATTATGGGGACCTTCTTTTGAGAACCTATGAAATTGTGATAGGTTGATGGCCTTGAGAATTTATGCATCATGTGTTATTTCATATGATTTTTTTCCATCTAAGGCTAGAATTTAGAATATTGATTAATATATATTTGTTTCACAATATGTTTGTTTCACATGTACTCGGTTCACAATGTGAACATTTCTGAAGTGTTTATGAAACAAAAAATACATGTAATTTTTTTTTCTTCACATTATGAACCGAATACATATGAAATAACACACATTGTGAAACAAATATATGTTAATAAATACATAAAATACTATACTTGGACGGAAAAAATCACGTAAAATAAAACCTTAAGATAGAAATTCTCATGAATATCATGAAATACTGTTTATTGATGCATATTACTTAAAACTCAAGATTACAAGAAAATTGTGCGTAAGTACAACTTATTAAAACTTCATGTTTGAATCCGTGTAACTAAATGCAGATAAACATGATCAAATAGAGGATAAATATCTTATTTTAAAAATAAAAAATCTAAAAATATAATTAGGATAATCATTGAGTTCTAACAAAATACTTGATTATTATCTTTATAAAAAATTATATCATTAACCCAAAAACAAAAAAAAATGAGTTAAAGAAATACACAAAAAATAAGAAATTTTAAATAGTTAGTTTGATACTAATATCAATATTTTTTTTTCAATTTTTTATGATATATCTTCATATTTATATTTTATTCAAAAACAAAAACATTACTGTTTTCTCAAAACCACATAAAAGTGTATTGTAACATCGACTGAGAAAAAAAGAAATGAAACATTAAAATCGAGATGATATCTCACTGCATTGTTCGAATACCCTTCTTGCTGCTAAACAACTCAATGTTTGCAGTCTAAAAAATTCTCAACCCAACCCAAATAGTAAGGATTGGTCGGGTTGATAATTTGGTACGTCAAAATAATACCTAACATTTAATATATGTTTTCTCTACTCATAATTGTTTTCTTCATCAATCACTTGGTGCAACTTATTTATACCCATTAAATCTTAAGTATATATCATTCAACAACTTTTCTTAATTTGCATATAACATATACACGAAGCAGTCCATATAGAGATGGAAAAGAGATTGAAAATATATCTACATGAAAAGATCTGTGATTATGTAATTGTCTAATGTACATATTAACAGACACTTAAAAAATCATATCAAATCCAAGAAATAAAAAGATTTCGGGTTCATCAGGTTGGGTTAGGTTCAAATAACCATAACTCTATACTTACGATTTGAATATTTTACAACTCGATTAAACATCAGATCTATCAAGTTTTTGAGCATCCCTACTTGTGAGAAATTATGTGTCTTTATATTTTATGTAATTTTTAATAAATTTAAATTTATATGTAATTTTTTATATAATATTGTATAGATATTTAAGGAATATATAAAAAGGTGTGGAGGGTAATGTGTGATGGATAGATAGCTTAGAAACAAAGCTCCAACCAACTACTTTTCTTTTTTGGTGATGCTGATTTCAAAATCTCATTATTTTGAGTCTTATAATAATTGAATTAGGTGTCATTCTACATCTATAAATATCTTTTTGATGGATTTATTTTATTAAGAATATATACACATAGATACAGCGAGGTTCAAATGAAAACGGCGACTAAATAAAAGAAAACAGTGAAGTTACGTACAAAATTATATGTGATTTTACACTAATGGTCAATGCAACACAAGAGTTTACAGACGACGTGGCTCGCGACCTCGGGTCGTGGCTAAAGTCGCGTGAATCATATATGATTTTACACATGATTTTAATGTAAAATTACATGTGATTCGACTGTTTTCTTATTCTCTTTTATACAATTATTGTTCTCATATAAACACATCTCTCTCTCTAGAAGCGTAAGAAAAGATCTGAACCCTTGATCATTTTTAATCTCATGTCCACCCATGAGTTGCACTTTAGAATCAATCTGACGCATCTTAATGCACCTCATTGGTGTTGACATTCAATTAGAATTGATCCAAAGGTTGAGATATCTTTTTACACTTTCTCACCAGAACTCAAGCCTTCAAATATATACTACATAATCGTTACAAACTCTATAAACCAATTTCAACCTTACATGTAGATTGGTGTAGATTAAATCAGTTCCTAAATGTATTTCCAACTGCATCTTTTAACTGATTTGATAACCGTTTTTTAATTCAAAATCAAGGGTTGAGATTAGGTTATAGAATTTATAACAATTACGTTTCAAATATAAACCATATAACTGTTATAAATCCTATAAACTAATCATATCCATCCATTTAGAATTATATAAATAAACTAAAATTACAAATTATTCATATATGAATTAGCATTCAAATATGGATAGAAGTAGCCTTTAAGCAATTGGGGAAGGGCCCCAACTCAAAGCTTAAGAACCATGCATGAAACAACCCCCCACCACCCCCTTTTAAAATCATTCATTAATTTATGCTTTTTTATATCAATCTTGTTAAATTATGTAAAAATATTATATATAAAGAATTTGCTTTTTTTTAATTAGATTTGTTATAAATTGGTTGTGTGTAATGTGTTATTTATTATAAATTTGTTTATTTTAGTTATTTAAGGGGACGTTTACCAAATACTTACCTGATAAGTGCTTACCAATAAAATTTAACACTATTATTTAATTACTGGGTAAGATTTTAGTCCACCAAAACAATATCGCATGCAACAATTTACCCAGTAAGTGCTTACCGTGGTAAAAGTCGTCGTCCTCACTTACCGGGTAAGACTCTTGGTCCTTGTCTCGCTTTTTCCATGTAAGATTCTTGCTCCTTACCATATTCATCCGATGAGGTAACGTGACTTAATAAACGCTTACCCGAGTAAGCATTTTGTAAACGGCCCGTAAGTGTATTATAAATAACTCAAACTTTTACTGATGTGTAATATGTTTCATTGTGTTGGTCTTATCGGAATTATAAAATAATAGTACAATGTATTATTTGAATATACGGTTTAACCGAAAAGTTAAAGAAGTAATGAAAAACCGAACTAGATAAATTATCCTTTATTCATTAACCGACACGTGTTGGTTTGGTTGGGTTAATTATTTGGTTTCGAGTTTTTTTTTACACCCTTATATGTGCCCAGTCACCTAAGTTTCTAGATCCGCCACTACATATGCATCTTCAAATAGATTTTTTTCGATGATTCACATATAAATTTTTCTTTCTTATCTTATCACGAGTTCTAACATTTTATTTTAACCGATCATATATATATATATATATATATATATATATATATATATATATATATATATATA